TTTTTTTTTTTTTTTGCCGCGAAGGGAAGAATTTCGTAAATCCGTCACGTCACCCCAATCGTCCACGAAGATCCTGACGGGGGTTAACGGCGTTTGACGGGGGCTTTTATGCAAATGCACTGGGCCTCCATCAACCGCGGTCGTTCGGAATCGCGTTCTTCGTAAAGAGATCTCCTCCCCTTGCCCTCACCTCTCTCAGAGCTGTGTCGTTGGAATCTCGCTGACTCGACAAATTACTCATACTGCTCGAAAGTATCAGAATGACTCTCCAACGTGTCACGATCGCTCGGTTTAAAAATTTAACCTCGTCGCAGGTGAATGCAGATGCGTTCGAGACGAGCCGAATGTATCGAGATTAATTAAAGTCGCTGTATCGTTCTGTCTCCCTCAGTGAATAAAGCTCGAGCACTTGAGAAATCTCGAGAAGCACGAGAGTCGAAAGATTCGAGGTTCCTTGAATTTTGTATGGGTGTCGCGCAGTGAAGTTGAAGGAAAGCGGGGGGAAAGGAAAGGGACGAAGAAGAAGGGGAACGAACGAAACAAAACGGGCAACAAAAAAAAAAAAAAAGAAAAAAAAAGCGGTAGAGAGAAAGAACCGCGCGATGAATGTTTTACTGGATTTCTTTCTCCCTGGATCCAAAGTTGCGGTATTTCCCCATTCAACGGGAAATTCAGCTAGATATTTGTCACGAACAACGAGCGGACGATGAATGCGCGAAAACCGATTACTAGAGATAGAGGAACAGAGCCGCTCTGGGCAACGCTGGGAAATACCGCGACTGCCGCGCTGTACACAAATTATTTTTCTTTCATACGGCTACACAATTCCGTTTTGTAGAGCGGCGGACCGGTGCACTTTAATTTCTCCAGAGATTTATGCAAGCCCGGGCCGCTTTGAGCTACGCGTAATAACGGGGGCGATGCGTGTACGAGCTGCAACATCGGTTACACGTTTCCCCGTCCTTTCACCCGAGACCAAAACGTCAACGATCCTAATGTCTCCGCGAGCAAGATTTACGCGGACAGGACCCCGCTTCCGCTCTTCTTCTCTCCCTTCTTGTGGCTCGATTATTTTTTCAAGAGGGCGAGAATTTCCTTGGTGAGAACACGCCTCGTCCACGCGATGAATATTAATCGTCGCGCAACTGACGAAAATATCGAAACAACCGAGGAATTCTTCGAACGTAGTTCGTCTAGGACCTTTGACAATTTTTTTCTCTCGAAGAAACCATCGTTGCAGGTCCATTCCTCGGTGATTATTGGAATATTGAAATATTTGTTGTTTTTTTTTTTCAAACGATTATTAGTCGATCGATTAATTAACTGATTATTGGCTGATATTTAATTGAATCAATGTTGAATATCTTCGTGACAAATAGCACGTCTAGGCCCTTTTGCGCAATAATTCACTAACAATATCAGTGAAGATTTGTCAGAGTTGCAAGCTGTGGACTATTTCGTTTTTGCAACTTTGCACGCTGACAAAGAGGAACATTTACTTAAACTTGTCTTCAATTTTCACGCGTTTCGATTTAGAGGGAACGGTAAAACGACACGAAATAAATGTATCATGAAGCTGTTGAACGAGATTTGGAAGCCAGATATTCGTCTATCAACGAAAATTTAATCGAATCAAAGAACACGTCGTAAAGATAAGATTCGAGCTACGTAGCGATTCTACACGAAATTAACAACTCTGCGTGACTCTCCCGTAATTTTTATTAACAGATAAATATATATAAAGATCGATTTACATCGGCTCCTCTGGTCCACTTCGAAGAAATAACGAGTGAACGCGAAATTCCGAGGCAAAACGTACCAAAATTCTCCAAGTCACGTTCACGCAGCACGCGTCCCATAAGTTAATGCTTAGTTAAGGGACGCGGACTTAAATTAGTTAACCGCTGAAAAGATCAGCGGAACGCGACCGATCGTCTCGCTGTTTGTCGAGCAGGACGTCGTGAATACAAATTCTAAGCAGTGGCGTTACCGTGGAATTTCAAGGAGCGTCTCGTAAACGAAAGTTCGTCGAATTAACGAAACACGTTCACGCTGATCGATTTTCGTCCGGTGTGCACGAGTTCGTCTACCTTCGAGTCTACCTTGGAATTCTCTAAATACGTTCCTCCTCGTTTCGACAACAAAAATTTGGTTCTTGAAAAATTTTTTTTATTGAAATACATCGTATCAGAGTTATTAAGAATTTTTCGCAACCGAGAAGATTCTCAGAGAAATCTAAGACAAGATAAGTAACTTATGGCAGAAATTGTCCAGTTCAAATTTCTCAAGTACAAAGCAAATAGAAGTTTCGTAACAATCGAACTACTTTCTTTGTTTCCTTTATTAAGAGTATTTGATTCAGTTCCAGCTTTTAACTGTTTCTAAAGTACGGCAATATAATCTGCAGAGATAATAATTCAGTGGAGCAATTGATTATCGTGGAAAGTACTGGATCAGGATAAACGAAACGTGCATCGTTTTATTGTTACTGTATCAGTAGTTTTATCAAACTTCTATGTATATTTGCATGTCGAACCTCAGAAATCTCGAAATTTCAAATCAGATAAGTTTCTTGACGTAACGTCAAGTATGAGTTTTGCAATCTGTATTGTTCCTTTCTTCTTCTTCGATATTCTGCAACCACGATAAGCAACACGTGTGATTTGGTTATCTCTCGACGTCACAACGTTATAAATTATTCCTTATTTACTGCAGCATGCAGCGATTCGTTATCAGTTGTAATGATACAGACCTCCCAGTGAGTTCATGACAAAAAATACCGAGTCTGGGTATTTGTCCTTGCAGATAAGCGATACCTTGTACAAGTTCAACTGTCAGACAGTTTGTTACCTTTTTCTATTATATAATAAATTATTTCAGCGCCAGTAGTTAGACAGAGTTGAATCTCAGTTAAATATATCATAAAAAATAGGCATGTACGGACAAACTCGTGTTTTTAATTTTAAGGCACTTTAAATGGAGTAAAAAAAAAAAAAAGAAAAAAAGAAAATATATTTATATTTCACGCATCTTGCACGAAAGCAGCGTCATGGAATATAACGAAACAAGAAAGAACATTGTTTGTACGTATTAGTCACACTTACGCGAAATGTGGCAAATATCGTTACGTAAGTTATTGTCACCGTCGAGAGATAGTCATTATTGAGTTAGCATAATCGTTCAATCTACAAGGAACTATCTCTGACTATTGATAACGAAAAGCTATATATAGTATCGCAGCTAATTGCACGGCAGATTTGAGAAGTTGCTCCAATCGAGTATCATCGAGGACGTTCAACATGCGTGGCTACTTTCTTCTATTAGTCTGTCTGTCGCTGATTGCTTCCTCATGGGGTCGTAACTTGATTCTTGGCAGACGTACCCCTAACGACATCCTCATCGAGGATCGAATCATTTTCAAGGTGAGTAGCCAATCGATCGTGGCATTCTTACCATCGATTCTCAGTAAATGAATATCGTTCGATGGTATTTTGACTAATTGTGAGTGAATTCCAATCAGCATGAGACCTTCGAGATCAAACGCTGTTGGTTTTCAACTGACTCACCTCCTTTGTCAGTCAGCTTATATCTGTCTTTCAATACTCTAGTTCAAGAAATTCGATTGATATTTGTTCATTGTGCTTCCATTTGAATTCTATGATTTTATGAAATTTCAAGAAACTGTATTGACGATATACATTGTTCTCAGCCGCCAGTGCCAGGTGTTAAACATACAGTGAAGATTAACGCAACTGCACCAGCCGGCTATGAGATCTCTTCTGTTAGAGTGATCGGTCTGAATCCGAGAGTAGTAAACGTCATCCTTGAGAAAGGTTACCTTGGACAACGATCCATTGTCCTAGTGGTTGTTGCTAGGTCAGGTTGGACTCTTCTGACGAAAGTCTTGGTATTCGCTGTTCCTACGTTTGTCGAACCAACTACCGTCACATCACCTACTCCCAGTGAACCAGCACCTACTCCCAGTGAACCAGCATCTAGTCCGAGTGAACCAGCACCTACTCCCAGTGAACCAGCATCTAGTTCCAGTGAACCAGCACCTACTCCCAGTGAACCAGCACCTACTCCCAGTGAACCAGCACCTAGTCCCAGTGAACCAGCATCTAGTCCCAGTGAACCAGCACCTACTCCCAGTGAA